CTAATTAAACTCCTTCTTCCACCCCCGTTTCTGCATTCAAAAATCTTCCCTTTTCCACAGCTTGGCGGAGCTCCTTTCTGTTGCTAGATGAGATGCTGCCCAATTCATGAAAGGTTGAATAAAGCCAATTTGATCTTTAAATTCACTCAGTTGATTTTTTGCTGTTTAATACCATAGTCCTTAGGAATGAGAACAGAGGAGGCGGTGCCAATGTGGGAAGACCCCTCCCCAACCTCCTCACCCATCACTGCTGACAACAGTGTCAGCCTTGGCTAAGGGACAAGCTGTTCCTGGAAGCACAGAAACAGAACTCTCAGTAAAAGGCAGAAAGGAAGTCAAATGTCACAAAAGCTCTGTCTATACAGATACGAATCACTCCCTAAAAGACCATGGTTAAGTTTAAAAAAAAAAAAAAAAAAAGGCAAGGAGTGGAAGAGCTGTACATTATTAGAAAAACAAACAAAAAGATTTTGTGCACGTGTGTGCAGAGCCTTTCTCTGACAGCATGCCACTCATGATCAGCAGGGAGGGGATCCAGGCAGCTGCAAAGGCGGGGAATGCGGGGACCCCTCATTATAGCCTCTTTTCAGTGATTTTGATACTAAGCATATAAGCTACCTAGTCAGAAAACTAATTTTTTTTTACTGTACTTAGACAAAATAAAAAGAACAAAATTAATTAGTTAAAAATACTTTTTAAGATTTAAATAAATAAAATTAAATAAAAACAAAGACAGAGTAAAATACAATGCCGGGGGAAAAAAAAGAAAAAGTTTTAACTCGGTGACATTCACAGTTAAACCACTTCATGGAATTTCACAAAATGACTTCTGAATTTAGCAACTTCCTCTAGGCCTTAGCAACCTTCTGCTGAATACCTCTGCTGTTTCAGATGATGGAGGCAGCACAGGGGGCTCTGGCAGGGGGGGGGGGGTGGAAACAAACCACGGTCTTTTTCATTTTCATTCCTTGTTTGAAATAAGAAGTTAGAACCACCTGAACAAAAACTATTCAAAGGTACCCCTGCTCTTTTGCAAATGAGACCAGCACCTGAGCTCGGAGCTGTTGTTTGGTAAATACACCTGAGAATGGAATATTTGTAATAGGAACGCTGGGAAATCTCCAGCACTATGAGAGCAGAAATCTGAGTTCAACACTTAAAATTGCTTTAATGCTGCTGTGGACTTTCCAAACCCTCCTTTGAATCAGATTGATATTACTAAGGCATAAAAGATTAACCTCTCACAACTGTAGAAAGTTGTAGGCAGAGCCCCACGATTACAAGGGGGTCAGTACCTGATTCACCAAGGGCACAGCTTCTGGATAACCAAAAAACACATTACAAATGGGTTAATGAGTTCATCGTGTTGGTAGGTGCTCACACTTTGTAAGCCCAAAGGGATGGTGGTCTTTCAGTAAAGCCCATTTTTCACCAGTATAAACCACATGAAGTTTCTTTTCCTACTGATGACACTGATCCTTGGTGAAACTGCTAGAAATTGCCATTAATAAGACTGCAGCAAGTTTCCCCTTTATCTTGTTTACTGAAAGGGTTGACTTACTTAAAATAGAAAGCTTCTGGAAAGCACACCACCAAGTACTGTTATTAAATTACACATTCTGAATTCCTTTTACAAGTCGCTGCTACAAAACATATTTCCAGATTGTATCTCCTGAGACAGAATCTTTTTCAGAAATCTTTCAGAGGCCATGCTGTAAGACTCTTAGATGTTCTGGGTTTTTGGCATCTTTTATACATGGGACTTGACCACAGGCTACTAAAGGAGACTTCCCCGGGTCGTTCACGCAAATCTGAGAAAACTGGCCCTAAACTGACATTAATATCTGCATTTATAACTCCAAGCAATGCATACCTCAACCCCATTTGATAAAAATGGGAACAGAGAATTTTATATTTAAACAAGCCAAGCCTGACCTCCAACTATCAGCAACTGGGCCTTCTGTTAAATTTTCCGTCAGAAATCAGGCCTATCGGGGCGCCAGCGTGGCTCAGTGGGTTAAGCATCTGCCTTCAGCTCAGGTCATGATCCCAGGGTCCTGGGATGGAGCCCGGCATCGGGCTCCCTGCTCCATGGGGAGTCTGCTTCTCCCTCTACCCTTCCCCCCTCCTCGTGATCTCGCTCTCTCTCTAATAAATAAAATCTTAAAAAAAAAAAAAAAATTAGGCCTATCAACTGAATTGCAGGTTCCAAATAACCAGATACAGACATAAGCAGTTGGTAAAACGAACTGGCTCCCAAGTTTAACTTAATTTACTCCTTCATTCCAATGCAAGAATGTAAATAAAATTCCACTTCAACAGCCATTTATTACAAGGTGTACTAAGCACACCAAGACGACAAAGATTCATCCTCAGTCACTGCCCATAAAGAATGTGCATCTTCTCTCCAGTCAAGTCTCACTCCGTACATTTGCTCAAACAGCTGCTTCTTCCTGGAATATTCTGCCCATCCCACCTAACCCCAGCCCAGCACATTCCCCTTCTCTCCCTAAAGCGGCAGCTCCCAGGAATCCCCACTACCCCATGCCCGGATAGGCCCGGGGCACAGACCCTCACTAATCTCTGTATCCCCACTCTCACCCAGTATTTGGCATACAATGCTGAATAAGTAGCTATTGAAAGAAGCCTCCCAGAGTCAGGCAGAGCAGAAAGACCAGTAAATATCGAAGACCTAAGGTAAGACCCACAATGTGGTATGCAGAGTGCTGTGGAGAGACAGAAAAGAAAGAAGGGACCCATTTGGCCCTGGAGCGGAGGGAGACAGCAGGGCCAGGGTGACAGAGAGCAGGGGGAGGTGAGCTAAGAAATGAGAACCGGGAAGGACTAGGCTCAGAGAGAAGGAAGGGCATGGGCAGGAAGCTGGCAGGGGCGAAAGGCATACTGCATTTGAGGTGCCGGAAATAAAGAGCCCGCTGGGGTGACAGCACTCTGCACAGCGAAGTCAGTGGTGGGTGGCCTGCAGTGCAGTGTCTAGGAGACCGGGACGTACAGCAGCCGACCGGAGGCCTGATAGCACAAGCACTCAATATACAGAGCTTTGGGTGTCATTAAGCCAGAAAGGTAAACTGAGGCCAGGTTGTGAAGAACCACCTCTTGTTCCCACAGCAGGAGGGCTAAAGCTCCAGGACCCACTAGGCTCTGCTTAAAATGCCAGGAAGTATATGGTCATGCCTACACTCTCTCCGTCCTCCCTTCAACGACTGTCAAATTGAGTCGCCAGATTGCAACACTGGTCAGCACTTTCCAGTGGGGCCACCCAACTCCTGGACTCCCCCCGAGTCCCCTAGAATGGAGACTGCCCGTTCTCCTGCACGGCGAGACCGACGGACAGTCCCCAACTCCACCAGCCCTGTCCTCTCAATACTGTGGAATTTGGGAGTTTATTCCTCAGAGTCTTGCCCTCCACACAGCTTACTGCTTGATATTCTCAGACCATCTCCGCAAGCTGCCCTCCACCTCCGGAGAGCAACCTCTGCTGAACCACCAAGGAACTTTCCACCACATTTGTGTGCGGTCCCAGGAAAGACGGCAGTATTCAGGGTCGGTCACGGGCTTATCAGGACTCCGGGATCCCAGGGGGGCCACCCCTACCTGCCCAGGAGCCTGCCATTCATCCCGACCCTCGTGCCCAGCCACCAAGCTCCCCTTGTCAACTTGCAGCCACTTGCCGCTCCTGACTTCCTCCTCCTCCATGACTCATCATCCCACTGCGGACCGACCTCCCTCTGCTGACCTCCACTGCTCTACCCAAAAACCCTCAGTGCCCTCCCAGCTCTCTTCCTTCCCTCTCTTCCTCTACACCTGCTCCTCAGCATCCCTCCAAGTTCTGGCTTGTTTCCCTTCTCATTCCCGTCACTTCCAAGACTTGGCAGCATCTTTCAACATCTGTCCTTCTTAACTTTCCAGCAACCTTCTCTGCAAATGCCCAACGGTTTTGCTTTTGCTCCTAGAAGGAGCTGCCGAAAGAGAAAAATCACATTTTGGCACAAACTTGTGCCTCTAAAAATGGGTGATTTTCAGGGGGTTGGTTACGCTCAGCAGCGCATTAAATTGCCCGGGGCGGCTCTTTCTCCACTCCCCCATAAAGACGACCCTGCGCCCTCACTCATTCTCAGACCCCCGCCCCCCTCCATCCCTGTAGCCTTCAGCCATGAGTCCCGCACCACTTCACAAAATGTCACAAAATGAAAATCTTTCCACGACTTAAGCCCTTTGGGGCCTTCCCTTTGATGGTAGCAGTGGCCCTAAACTTCAGTTGGCCTGAGAATCACCCGGGGAGCCCCTCCACCCTGACATTTGCATTCTCCAGTTTGGGCCAGATCCCAGAAGGACACATGGCAGCGGATTCTCATGACAGTCCATGCACCAAACTCTAAGTTAGACAATGAGTCTCTAGCAAGGGTCTGCAAAAGCCAATCCTCAGGCCAAACCCAGCCCACTGCCTGTTTCTGTGTGGCCTGCCTGCTTTAAAAAAAAAAAAAAGTTTTTTTTATTTTTTAAGGGTTTGAAAACAATCAAAAGAAAAAATTTTCCGACGCATTAAAAATTCTCTGAAACTCTGATGTGATGAGCACGGGGTGTTATATGCAATTGATGGATCACTAAATTCTACTCCTGAAACTAATAATACACTATATGTCAACTAATTTGAATTTAAATACAAATTTTTTTAAAAGACATAAATGGATGCCTGGGGGGCTCAGTCGGTGAAGCCGGCTCAGGTCATGGTCCCAGGGTCCTGAGATGGAGCCCCACGTCAGGCTCCCTGCTCAGTGGGGAACCTGCTTCTCCCTCTACCTGCCGCTCCCCCAGTTTGTGCTCTCTCTCTCTCTTTCTCTGTCAAATGGATGGGTAAAATCTTAAAAAAAAAAAAAAAGACATAATTTTCTAGAGCCAAAAAAAAATTACATGGAACTGAAATTTCACAAGTGTCCATTAATGAAGTTTCACATGAGACTACAGCTGTGGTCAATACTTACTTATTACCCATGGCCGCTTTCATGCAGCGGCAGAGTTGAGGAGTTGTGACAGGCTGCAGGACCTGTGAAGCCGAAAATATCTACTGTCTGGCCCTTTACAGAAAAGGTTTGCAGACCCCTGGTCTGTAGCATAAAGTGCAAACACCTCACCAGAGCCCTTTGGCTTCCTCGTGACGTGACCCCGGGTCTCTTCCCCAACCCAGATCCCACAGTCTGCACACAGCAGCCCACTACCCACTTCAGTGGGCTCTCAGTTCCTAGAACAAAGCACAATTTCACTCGTCCACACCTCTGTACGTGCTGTTCTTTCTGCCCACCGTGCCTGATAAAGTCTCCTTCATCCCGCAAGACCCAATTTATGCCCTTCCTCACCTGCGAGATGCTCTCCGACAACCACATCTCAGCCACCCCCCACAAAGCAGAGTAGATCTTTCCCTCCGTTCTGCCTCCACTATGCTCAATTAATTTGTATCCCAGTTAGCTGTGTGCAGCAGTGGTTCTCAGACTTTGCGGGGGGCTCACTAAACTACCCAGGGCTGTGTCTGCCCACAGAGCAGCAGATAGGGGGGCTCGGCAGAGAATGTACACTTCTAACTAGTGTCCAGGCTGATGCTGGTCCAGGAACAGCATGCAGCATTTAACACCAGTTGACAAATCTGTCCCTGCCTCACCCAACAAGATTTTTGAGGATGGGCCCCATTTTATTCCTGTTTGAATCATCACAGCCCAACACACCCCAAGGAATTCTTGGGGAACACAAGAGAAACTCAGTATGTGTTTGCAGTCTGACCAAATTATTTTTCCCCTACTAGCCAATCATTTCCAGTATCAGGCAATGAAAGGGATATAAGGGGAGAGTAGACCTGACTTTGCAGGAACTACTGAGGTCAAAAAAGAAAACTAGAGCAGCTTTCTGCAGGGCTGATGTTCTATGGCCTGCCACAGACCCACACCCATCCTGAGCTGGGATGAAATGGATAGCCCCAAGGTGCAAAGCAGACTGATCAAGGCAGAAGCCCAAGGGAAGAGCCTGCAGGCAGCATCAGTGGCTGGGGTGGGTTAGGCAAAGGACCCTTCCCCCACAAAAGACGATCGGCTGTCCTCTTTAAAAACAACCTTCCATATGCTGAAGTTTGATAATGCATATCATTATCATTGGCACATGTTACTAGTGATACATATTTATTGAGTACCTACTATTTCCTTGGAACACAAGAAGGGATAAAATCGCTACCTTGAGGAGACGTTAAATTAGTTGGAAATTCAGCATATAAACACAGCAAGCTAACTCACAATAGGAGGTAATGCTTACTAAGTGTCAAATGTAAAGCATGTCAAAGGTAAACAGTAAATTCTACAGGAATCCAACACGTCCTGTGGCTTTCCCGTGGCTTTCTTTTCTCGGTTCCACCAGGGCGCCATCTGCAAACCTCCGTTAGCCCCTGCACAAGCTGGGGAATATACAGCACATGCGACTTACATGGGTCCTCTGTCTCCTCCTCTGGTACAGAAGCTCTTCCGGGACAGGGACCTGGATTGTTTTCATCCTTGTATTTCTACCACCTGGCCAGGAACCTGGCACTAAGAGCATTAGATAAATATTTAATTGATTGAATAATGAGTGTGGAATGTGGGCTGAGCTTTGAACCAGGGGCAAGATTTAGGTAAGAAGAGACGTGAAGGTTGGGCTTTCCAAGAATGGGCAAGGGAACCAACCAGTGACTAAAAGCTCCAGGCAAGGAAAGAAACCTTGTGGTCAGAGGCCCCAGTGGAATAATGGAAACTCACTACTGGTCTCACCATTAGTCAAGAATGCCAGGTCTTTAGAGCGGGTCTTCGTTCACCCAGCCTTTTAAACTGTAACACAAGCTTACGTTAATTGTCCTAAACCTTTGCTGCTTTTTTTTTTTTTAAGATTTTGTTTATTTATTTGAGAGAGAAGGAGAGATAGAGCATGAGCAGGGTAACAATAGCAGGGGGCTCCTTGCTCAGCAGGGAGAGGGAGAAGCAGACTCCCTGCTGAGCAAGGAGTCGGATGCAGGGGCTCCATCCCAGGACCTTGGGATCATGACCAGAGCAGAAGGAAGACGCTTAACTGACTGAGCCACCCAGGCATCCCTAAACCTTTGCTGCTTTAATCTCAAAATCATTTCCTGAGTTCTTATGTCCTGAGCTATTTTTCCCTTACCCCTTTTTCTGATTAGCTTGGGGGGGGGGGCGGAATGAAACCCAAACAAGGAATCCTAATTCAACAATGAATTGATACTTCATGCAAAAACACAAAAGTCTGGGGTACGGGTGGGTAAAAACAGCCTTGGCACCGAGCTCCCCACCCCTCCCCATTTCAATTGGAAATTCCTTAAAGCCAGCAAACCATTTCTTCCTGAGCTTTCACTAGCATATGACCACACACCATGCAAATTAATAACGTCAACAATATCCATCCATCACGGTGGCCACATCAGTCTTGCAAACTTTGAAAGCTATGGTTAGTTGAAAGGCAGACTGTGACACACTCCACAACCAAGTCGAGAGGGCATGAGCAGATAGAGGACTTAAAAAAATAAGGCAAAACACTTTTCCTTTGCTCCCTGATTCACTCTAAATGGGAAAGAAAAAGTTCTTACCTAATTTATCCTGCGTAAGTGAAGCTTTCTATCTGAATAATCCTACCAGTTGCCGGGGCATCATACTTGCTAGACAGAGACTGGTGTTTTAGAAATGCAGCTTTCGGGGCACCTGGGTGGCTCAGTCGTTAAGCGTCTGCCTTCAGCTCAGGTCATGATCCCAGGGTCCTGGGATCGAGCCCCACATCGGGCTCCCCGCTCTGCAGGAGGCCTGCTTCTCACTCTCCCACTCCCCCTGCTTGTGTTCCCTCTCTCGCTGTCTCTCTCTGTCAAATAAAATCTTTAAAAAAAGAAATGCAGCTTTCAACGAACTCATCTGTGAGGCACCTGTGGAGTTTCCTCGGCCATCCTTCATTTCCTACCCTCTGCATCTGAATTCTGTGCTCTACTTGTTTCTAATTAAAGAAGATGATTTTACATGTAACATCTTTAGAAGGATGTCAGACTAGTGAAGTCCTTGGAAATGAAAACCATAGACTTTTCCCCACGATCTCACACAAGCTTCCCCCGGAAGTTCACAGAACAAACGAAAGGAGCAAATGAAAAATGAGGAAAGAGTTCTTCACTCACGTAGTAGAACGCTACGTTATTATTTTGCAAATAATGAGCTACTCCACACGGAGACACCCAGAGGCCAAAGACATTTCTCAGAAGCGCCTTCAATTCAGAAATTACGAATATAAGCATGAAATGTTAAGATGGGGGGGGGGGTAAGATTCAATGTCTCCCAGTGACATATGAAGAGCTACTTGAGTAACCAGAAGTACGTGTTTTATCATTTTTAGCATATTGCAGGCCAATAACAAGTCACTCTCTAATGGGACAGAAGCAAACATTTATTAAGGACTGTGCTATTGTCCTTGGATTGTCCTCCAGATCTGGCTCTACCTTTCTCTTCCAAGTTCTGTCCCAGGGGTGGAGCCCCTGTAGACCACATCAGCCGGGCACCCCAGGCCAGCCACCCATGGGCGGAGTCTGACCACTGGGGGTAACGGACAAGAGACGGAAGGGCTGTAGGGTGGAGAGGAGAAGGGCTGAGGTTCTCTTTCTGCTTCCCACCTGCATCCCAGCAGGGACTGGATTCAGCCCTCACTGGGCGATGGCAACAGGACACCCTCACCTCTCCCCTTCCGCATCCAAGTTTTGGTACCTGACCATCCCCTGAATGGTGCCCACATGCCTCTAAGTAGCTCATTAAAATTTCTTCATTGCAACCCACTGAGTTAAATTCTGTTGTCCGCTGGGACCCTGTCTGAATGAAGGACCTTTCAGATGTAGCACATTTCAGATCTACATAAAATTTCTCAACTCCAAAATGTAGATCTGATTTCACCCATGAGGACACTGGGGCTCTTTAAGGCTGAATACCAGCCTGCGGGTCACAAAAAAAGTTTGCTGGCAGAGCAGGTCCAGTCTGACCTCGAAGACCTTAAAAAGGCTTTGAAAGTGTGAGGGAGAAAAACACATCAAGCTTCCAAATTCCCAAGCCACAATTTAGCCTCAAACCACATTATTTATGGTTTGGGATTTTCCCCCGGCCTTAAATGAGCTAGCTGGGGCATTGCCCTATACGCGCTTCTCCCATCAAAAGTCACTCAGAACGTGAGCCTGCTGGAGGGTGCTGGGGCCATCGGAAGATCCAAGAGATCACAAGGGCTCCTTCCTTGCCCATCACCCACATTTCTCCTTCAGTTTATCCCAGAAATCCCCTTCTCCCAGCCTTCCACATCCTTAAGGCTCTTTTATTCTTTTTTTACCAATTAAAAACAAGGTTCCTTCGACAGAAATCTAGGAGACTGGGTATGGGGTGGATGCAGTTAAAAAGCAGTTAAGCTAGCATACTAGCACCTCCCCGTTGTAACTTGTCGGGGGTCCCCTAACTATCCCTTTCCAAACAAAAAGCCTCTCTGGATTCCTCTCTCTAGCAATGCCAAATAACTTAAAACAGAAAATGCAATTAAAATAAATTCTGATGGGGGTGGGACTGGGGCTGAAGGGGTAAGTACAAAACACATTCCTCTTAAGGAAATTCGGCTGGGAGCTGAGGCAGTTTCAGAGCAAAAGAATTTGCTAGTATCTCTGCCTTTACCCAGGTCCCTGGACCTCTTCCATCCTCACTAGGAATTGAAGAGTAATTTACAGAAGCACCAGTTAGCATCTGATACCTCTCCCAATTTGTTAACTTTCTGGATTTTGCAACTGATGAGCAGGCAACTGGCCGGGTTGAGGTGGAGTTCTGCATCAGATCCTTGGAGGGAGCCAGGTAGAAGGGGCGGCTCAGTAAACAGTATCTGAATAAGGCAAACAGCCAGCTCTCACTTCCTCCTTGCAGAAGGAATGTGAGTGGAGAGGGCAGCGGGTATACTCCTGTTTGGGGGGGTGGGGCGGGGGGAAGAAGAAGAGGAAAGAAAAGGAAAAAAAATCACTAGTAAAAAGCAAAGGAAGAAACCTGGAGCAAACCTCAGTATGAAACCAAATGAGAATGCAATGGGCCCCCCTCCGGCACTCCCCATTCCATTTAAATCAACATGTATTTATTGACTCACTATGAAATACATAGCAGATCTAGTTTGCAGCACCTAAAGAGACAGGAAAATGAGTAAGACAGCCTCAACCCTCCAGCAGATTTCTTACCAAGAATTACTGTTCTTTACTGCCATTTTCTATTTTAACAGTAGCAGACAATTCCTGGACAGTCCAACTAACTTCCACGGTGCCTCTCTTCTCCCACTGACCGAACTCACTCAGGAGCCTGGGACCTCAAGGATAAGCCCACTGAATAAAGTAAAGCCCCTCAGAAAACCACAGGGTCCTGGTGTAACTCCTCCCTTTCCAATGACAGAGCACCTGGTACAAAACATTGCCACCCTCTGATGTGACAAGTTTCACCGCCAAAGTCGAAAACCCAAGTCTCTGTTCCAAAGCTATAGGCTGGAGCCTACAGACTAATCAACCTTATCTTTTAAGTAGGGAGATCTTTCCAATTTTTTTTAGTATATGTGCTGCCGAAGCGAGCACAACATTAAGTAGAGATATCTAGATTAAAAATAATAAAGACTCGACGACACTGGTGCGAGAAAAAAAAAAAAACACTTGATTCACGTAACACAATACTTTAGAACTTGGTTACAGGAAACGAGGCAACCCAAAACCTCAAAAAGAAAAAAAAAAAGTTCATTTGAACCTGTCTTGCAGGGTATACCAATTTTTTTTCCCCACACTTACAGAACAAAAACATCAAGTTAGAAAAAACGCCCACCTGTCGAGTGCGTGTAGCTATAAAATCTGCTGGGGAGGTTGGGGGGGGCGGGTTGTGGCCAAGATGTGCCTCCCGGCCCGCACGCCCGCAGTGGCTCGGGACGAGGGTCCCTGCGCCCCTCACCCCAGGCGCGGCCAAGCCGCCCGCGGTTACCTGGTCCAGAGGGATGCCCAGGAGCTCGCTGAGCGGGTGCAGGCAGGTGGAGCCCGTGGTGCGGTAGGAGAGGCTGGACGGCGGCTCTCCTGCCATCCTGCATCTTCGGGAGGCGGCTGTCCCGGCCCCAGCCCGTGCCACCCCGCTCGCCGGCCGCCAGCCCGAGTGCTCGCGGGCGGCTGCCCCAGGCACGCGCGGCCGCCTCCCTCGCGGGCACCGAGCTACCAGGCCGGGGGGCCGCGACGCCCGCAAGCTCCCGGGGTGCAAACTTGGCGTTGGCTCAGCGGCCCCGCGCGCGGTAGGAGGGCCGCGGCCGGGCGCGCGGCGCTTCCCGCTGCCCTCCTCTCGGCGCTCATTGGCTCGGCCGCCCGGGACGGCCCCGGGAGGAGGAGGGAAGGAGGAAAAGTGGGGAAGCGGAGCCCGGCCACGAGCGCCACCCGGCCCGCCCAGCCCGGCCTGAACCCCGGCCGACCGGGAGAGGGAAAGCGACGCCAGCGGGCGCCGTCGCCTCGCCCTGCGGCTGCTGGCGGGCAGCCCCGGGGGCGGGAGGCGTCCGTCCTCTTCCTCCTCCCGAGCCCGCCGGCCTGCCTCCCCCGCCCCCCGGCCACCCGGGCGGGCGCCTTTCCCTGGGGAGCCCCCGGGGCCCCACCCTGTTGTGGTCTCGCTGCAGTCTCGGCTCCCCCCTTCCGTGTCCCCGCGCCCGCTAGCATTTCTTGCGCTCTCCTTTCGAGGTTTCTCCCTCGCAGTCCTTGCTGCGGAGGGTTACTCTGCCAGAGGCTGGAAGCCCAAGGAGCCCCCCACCCAGACTCCCTCTCTTCACGTTCCTCAGAGCAAGACATTGTTTCCTACACTCTCATCTGTGTCACACCCGCAAATGCAGAGGACTGCTAGCCTCTGATCATTTCCTCCCATCCCTTTGGATTGAGAATTATTTTACCTCTGTAAGAAACGGTGTTTCTATTATGTGTGCATTCTGATACATTTTTTCGTGCACAGGTTCTCAAAAGGGCGACACTTCCTCTCTGTTCCCAGACGGAGACAAATTATCACCGGCACTTGGGAAAACGGTTTCGGTTGATTAAGGGGTTTGGAGAATCATGAAAGTGTTGAAGATTCTTCCCAGGAATTGCCGTGTGCCCGCTGATGAAGAAAGCTTTCAGGAAAGCGGGGCTCTGAGCTGATGGGTAGAAAACCAGGGAAAAGGGGAGCTGATGTGAACCCCCAGGATTCATGGGGAAACGAGGCCCAAAGATTTTGCATCAGCAGTTTACCTGGGAGCTGTTATTGAGCCAAGGAGACTCCGAACAGGTGGGCAGTGACGTTCAGGCAGACCTATTGTTATCCATGTGGCCTCCAGCTTCAGATCCACCTGCAGGCCGGCCAGACACTAGTAAAACTTCCCCTCCACAGCTCAGCCCTCAGTCTTGCCTTCTGGAGGAGCTCATCACCAACAAGCTTGTCAGGCCTGAGTTTTTCAACCTATGTTTCCCCTCTGAGGGGGAAAAAAAAATGTCCCTACCCCCATTCCCTGTCCGCATGGAGATGGGGAGACCACCAAGAGCAGATGACAATCTCTGCTCTCACCACACCCACATTCACGCTGTCACAGGCATATGATTGCCCATCAACTAGGCTAGACAGGCTCATTAGATATCACAGTTCTGGAAACTGACCAGAACGAAAGCACCCTGAGCAGGATGACAGCTGAAGTGAGGTGTCTGAGGGCAGAAGGGGCTTGAAAGCACTGTTTAAAAAAAAAAAAAAAAAAAAAAATCCGGGCGCCTAGATGGCGCAGTGGGTTAAGCGTGGGATTCTTGGTTTTGGCTCAGGTCCAGATCTCAAGGTTGTGACCTCAAGGTGGTGAGATTGAACCTCACATCCAACTCCACACTCAGTGCTGAGTCTGCTTGGGACTTTCTCTCCCTCTCCCTTTCCCTCTGCCCCTCCCCTCCACACTTAGGCTCTCTCGCTCTCTCTCTCTGTCTCTCAAATAAATAAATAAATCTTAAAAAAAAAAAAAAAAAATCAGCACTTAGACGTGAACGCCCAGAAAGGAAAAGTAGGCCAGTTTGGGTAGTATTTATGAAGGAAGTACTCAGACCATTCGTAATCTTCTACAAACAGATCTCTGCTCTTCACACTCCCCAAAATGGTCTTCACATTGACATAGATGTGAAGAGAGTAGCCCTCTACAGATGTTCTTCAGCTCAACAAAACAGGTTCTAATCTAGTTTAAAATTTTCCCTTAAAAATGCAGTAACTATGCTTAGATCTTGAAAACAAAATGTCACAGAACTTAAATCTTCCTAGTTCTGTTCTATTGATACTGTGGTACAGTTAATGCTAAAAGAACTATCTGATGTTGCAATATCAAGCAAATGGAACAGTTCTATTACAGATTAATTAGACAGGCTTCTGAAGGATGGGCTACAATTCTAAGACATATAAGAGCTCCACCATGGACACATCACTCTCTTTTCCTTCCCATTTATCTCTGTTCACATCCTTTGTCAACTATAGATTCATCATAATGATTATTATATATTAGCTATAACTTTACAAAAATTGTTTCAATAGCCCATGTTATTATAATCTCTATTTTACAGATGAGAAAACTGGAGTTTACAAAGTTAAGTATCATGGTTGGTTTAGGGAGGCTAAGCAAAACTATGTCTGATTCCAGAGCCTGGGCGCTCAGTCCTTATGTCGCATTGCCTCCTCTAAAACCAAGCATTTCTCTATCAGGAGGCCCACCCACACACGTGACGCACCTGTCATCCCCGTGGACAGGAATTACATTTACTGTTCAAAAATGAGGTGGCAGGGGTGTTGTCTGTTTTTCGGTTTTTGGTTTTTTTTTCTTTTTAAGTAAGCTCCACACCCAGCATGGGAGCCAAATGCGGGCTTGAACTCACGACCCTGAGATCAAGACCTGAGCTGAGATCGAGAATCAGACGTTTAACCAACTGGGCCAACCAGGCGCCCCTGTCTTGCCTGTTTTCTATCTGCAGTAGAACAAGTCTTGATATCAAGATCAGTCATTTAATCTCCCTTACAGAACCATGCTCAGATTGTGAACTCATCCAGAAGACCCAGTGCTCATCCTGATGACTGGTTTAAAATTAAAGGCCAGACAAAAAGATATGGAAAAAATTCTGTCATGTTTCAGGGAAGGCAGCATGATACTATGGACTGATAAAAATTCAAGACCCATCACATGCATGGCCAGAACCAGCCAAAGATAAGCAGACAACAAAACTGAATTAAAACAGTCCTCAAAGCCTACAAAAGTATAACTTAGTCCCTCGAGAAGATAAAATTCTAATAATCCATTCAGAAGAGACTCAACCGAAGATAATCACCGACCAAACCACATCAACACCATCTACAGTGATTTAACCCATGTAAAAATAAGGTTACCATCTTAATAATACTACATAATATTCACAAAGCGTATTCATTTGTATCATCCTTTCTGATCCTCCCAAAAAGTTTATGAAGTTGGAAGGGCAGGAAATATTATCATTTTTAATATTATGTCACCATCATCCTCTCCATTTTTATCCATAATACTAATTTCTAGTAATTTGCAGGTGGCATGTAGAGCTAATGAACAGCGAAAGGAGGATTCAAACCTGGGTATTCCATTGTTGTTTTTAATTATACAGAAATCTTTTTATTATACAAGGAGTCCACCTTCAGGAAAACAGCAGAAATTGTTGCCTGCATAGGACATTAAACTCCACACTTCACATTTGAAAGCTAATCTGAAGAATGGTCTAAATTGACCCACGATGGGTATCGCTCTTGCTTTGTGAGCAGATTCTTTAAACATCACCCACAAAACCTTAGGGAATTTAGATTTTGCAATGAGTGCTCCATTTTCTTCACATTCTAGCTCAACCTGTCCATGCTTGGAAAGTATTTTGCCACCTACCTGCCTAGCATATTTTCTAAGCTTGAGATCACAGTTAAACATTGTTTTATATGTGTACATGTTCAGAAAATGAATAAATTAATATAACCGAGCATCTATCAAATTTAGCTCTTACTGTTAAGTATTAGCATTTTTCCCTAAGGATACTGTACAATTTAGTCATTCAAGATAAATCAACACATCTCATCTCATTGTGCTAACCTATGTATGCATCAAGGAAATGCTTTTATGTCTAAAGACAAAAGAAACCAAAATAATATCCCAACCTCTGAAAGAAACCATTTATAAGAAATACAAAGCAGAAATTAATCACTGATAATGGAATGCAGAAATAAATCCTGCTAACAAAACTCCATTAACTAAAAATACTCAGAACGATATTTATAACTATGATTTTATACAACTTCTTAATGTCAGGACTGGAGCCTAAAACCTAGAAGAGGAACAGATTAATTAACAAATTAATTAACTCTGCTTAGCTGAAGCTTCCCCTTTATGAGCTGACATTTTATTTTTAACTTTAATCTTTTGGGCATGAGAGCTTCCCAAAATGCGTCCCCACATACTTAAATGGAGTTAGTGATCACAACTGAATTTTTATCAGTGAGTCAGGCATTATGGTGAATAAGAACCCATCCTGCAATAACAGCTACGTCTTGGAGTCCGCTAATGCATCAAGAGTTTGTCCTTGCCCTAAAATTATGCCCAAAGAGGTGAACTTTCTCAATTTCTGTGTCTACTTTCTAGTTTTTCAGTCTCCTGCTCTCATATTTCAGTTGTCGCTGCCTTGCCCGCCATTTTGGGTCTCCCATGATCTGGGCAACTCCATAGATTGTCTTCACTAGGCTTTGGCTTAGTGCCTAAGGAGTTTTGGGAAAAGTGAAGTATTTCAATCTTAAGTAAACTCCATACTGTCTATCTTGGATATTCAGAGGCCTTTCCCCCACCCCCTTACTTCCTGCTTCTCTGGCTGTGTTCCAAATACTCACTCTTGCCAAAGAAGTGTTCTATGAATAATAAAGTATGATCGAAGATAATACTTGAGAATATAGAGATAGGCAGAAACCTATCTGCTTATGCTGCCAGGATTCTCTGGTTGGCTGCAGTTAAAAAAAAAAAAAGCAAGGTAGGGCCTTGCCTGATGGCCCTGAGTCTTTGG